TAATTGAGAGTTAATTATATTTGAATATTCGATACAACACCTGAACCCTTCACTAATGTTCATTCACCAAATCGTGTATGCATATTAATGAAATCCCATCTCCATCAATCCACCTTGAAAACCCATTCATCTGGTTTAAGCCCATGTTCTTTTGCCCTTTACAAATATTTTATGAGGGAAATACTGTAACTGAAAACCTTTTTCCCTTTCTTTTTAACAAATCAACACTCAGTAATGAACCAGGATACATCTAACACCTTTTACATCTACTGTAAAGAAAGTCAAACAAGTGACAGGTCGTCAAAACCTCTTTTTTTTCCACTTAATAATTAAATTAAACCTGCAATAACGGATTCAATTGGCCAAACAACACACAGCATCTATCATCATCATTTTAGTTGATCTGACGGACCTGTTTGCTGAGACTTACTTATTCACACATCCAGCAGACGCAGAACAGCATTAGAATTCATTTGAAGTCGTGTTTGTGGCCACCTGGTTAATGTATGTCTAATATTTACTCTCTCCTCGCTCTGTTTTTGATCTCTACCAGCTCCGGAGGGAGATATCTGGCTCTTTAGCTACTACATGCTCCACTATGTTCACCATGCTAGTCTCTCTATGTTTGCTGTTTGATGCTGCGCAGGTATGTGTGCAGTGGGTTTATAACAGCTTTTTCACTGAAAACAGCTGCCTGCTACGGCCGAAAATCAAACGTGACAGTGAACCTGAAGAGTAACGTTCTGGGTTGGACAGCTAGAACGAGCAACAATGAGCTGAAACTCATTTTATAGCTCTGCAACGCCGAGGGGAGCTGCAGACCATGCTGATCATTCTCTGTAGGTTCATCACTAAGAGCGGGCTCTTTCACATTTCAGATGAAATTGTTTTCACATTGTTATTTGATATATTGTTATTATATGGATTACAGCAGCTAACATAGCTGATGATTTATTTTAAATGTACTTAAAGAGATGCTGAGTCTGAACTAAAGTGTTTTCTCTCCTGTGTTTATGAATTAAGAACAGGCAGAAAAAAAAAAAAGGTTTTGCCAGGATAATCTTGCCAAAATGAGTATTACAACAACAAACACTTTCCACCTGCCAAAACTTTATTTCTAACCGGTTTTCGCAGATATTTCCTGAGAAAGAATATTCTGTCAAAACATTTTTCACCTTGTTTTTTTCTCACTCACCTCTCAGGGCTATCGTAAGATACAGATAAAAGTTAAAAGAAGCATCAAAAACTCTTTTGGTTTCAATGGATTCTGAACTGGAATGCTCAATCAGAGAAGAAGGAAAAACCTTGCTACATAAAGAGCACTACTTTCTGCATCGGCACTGAACAATGGCATTGGACGCCATTCACCATTCGTAATCATCTGATGATCTTGGGTGGTAGTTTTAGACAGAGAGATCTGGAGATGTATTTAAGATATAACAAATAGTTAGATAAATAAGTAAGCTTGTGGAAAATGTTAAGATATGTCACGCAACTTTACACTGGCCTTGAAATATGCACAATCTTGATTCTAGACAGCCTCTGTTTATTGCAATTAGTTCAACATTTCTAGTAAAATTTCCAGTTTATATTACTATACATATATTCATGATGCATCAATGAAGTTCATAATTACAAATAAAGACAATTATTATGAGTTGAGCTGTGCATCAGGGGAGAACTCGCACGCAGAGAATTGAGGTTCAGACGAGAGTCTTTAAATGTTACTATTTGATACATTAGGGGACAGTGACAAAATGTGCAAAAGTGCAAACTTTCAGCCCATATTAGACTTTCCTGTGCATGATTGGTCACCCTATATGTGGGTTTCTCTACAGGTGCATCATCTAGGGCTTAATTGAACACACATGGAGCTAATTGCCAGCAGCAAGGTCAAGTCATTACAAACACACCAGAACCCCAGTGTGACTCATCATGCATGTCTCATCTTGGACTGAAACCTTTGTACTCTTGCACTCTATGCACATTTGATCTGTGAAGCCCTGTACTGTATCAAATAAAAACATTTAAAAATCCAGACTCTAGTCTGAATCTCTTTTGTTCTCTGCGTGAGAGTCCTACCTTGCTGCACAACACCTTTTCTCTGACTACTGCACCAGAGAGGAAACACGTTTTTTCAAGGCTTAGCTCAACACTTAGAAACCGCTGAGATACAGTATAACATCTGGGGAAACCATTCAAAAACTCATAAATGTTGACAACAAATCTCACAAATAGGAGACTAAAGCATCTGTGGCCTGGCCAATACAAGCTGCCAACATCATTTACAGGGAGAGAGCCCCACGACTGCTGCAGGCGTGTCTGTCTGACACAGGAAATCAACACCGTGTCAGGAGGCACTTCAACTGCCTCACATCCCAACACCATCAGTGTGATTTATTAAGCACGCCAATTTATGCTGATTGCATCATTAATTCAATTCATTCATGCATAAATTTGAAAATATTTTTGAAACGTGTGATATCAAGATGAACTTACTATCTTTAAGCATTATCGTTTCAGAAAAGTGTTTTTATTTGCTTTTGCATTTATGCAACAAGGTGCTTCAAAGTTAAATAAAATCATCTACTCTCTGATATTGCATGATAATGGGACGATAATAATAAGTTATCAACCACGCTCTTTTTCTAACTCTACGTAGTTTTGTTGCCTAAACCTAACTTCCTATGAATTTTATTTTTAAGAGACACTAAACATGTATAAAGCACATATTGACACGCCGTCTCTGACACGACCAAAACTGACGCAAGGGATTTACTTATAGAGTGTCACAGTTTGAAGCTTAGTGACACTGACCAAGCGTCTGTATTTGATCTGTGAGTATCTACATTTGATCTGTAGATACCCACAGGCTGCAAGAAATCTCTTGCATGAGCAATGGAAAGCTAAACTATGGGCTCATCACCATTATAGTTATTGGATGAAATTATCATTGAAATTGTATTGGGTACATAGTATTAAAAACATCACCGTAGATTGGATTGTCTGTAAAATTAAATAGATCCCTCACTCATGCACTCAGACTTAAAAGGCTAATTTCATTGTAAAACCCTCAGGACAAGAGGCACTATTACGCATGCCATAAATTGTAAAAAAAAAAAATCATTTAAATTGCATTAGAAGAGCAAAAATCACTTTTACATTTAAACTGATCCCCTTGTAAGAGTGAATCATCACATTTTATCATTTAAAAATATAAGGTGGCTGCTATTGATCCTGTAAGACACTTGTTGTTTACACCTCACATGCTTCAGCAAGCCCTGACCCCATCTGGCCCTATCTTTCATTTTGATAAAATCTGACCATCCATTGAAAATAAACAAAAAACAAACAAACAATGGAATCATGCGAATCACAAATAAGTATCCTGGCAAAATAGGTATTTTCCGTGGGGTTTCAGGCCCTCTGGAGTTTGGGCCTCAAATGTTCTTCTTGGTTCGTTATTTTATCAGTGTGTATGTTTTGTCTCCAAATATATAATTGTGTTTGACTGAATAACCTAAGGGTTGTTCAGGGTTGTCCCTTCTCACCGATTGTGTTTGTGATTTTCATGGACAGGATCTCAAGGCACAGCCGGGGGAGGATATTATCGTGTTTGGAGACCTCAGAATTGCATCTCTGGTCTTTGCACATGATTTGATTCATCAACCGGTGGTTCGGTTTGATATGCTTCATCAGACTGTAACCTTCAGCGCGCATTGGGGCAGTTCACAGCTGAGTGTGAAGCGGTCGGGATCAGAGTCGGTACCTCCAAGTCTGAAGTGAGATGGACAGGCGGTTCGGTGTGGCATCAGCAGTGATGCAGGCGTTGTACCGGACTGTTATGGTGGAGAGGAATCTGAGCCAGAAGGCAGAGCTCTCGACTTACCAGTCAATCTACGTTCTGACCCTCACCTATGGTCGTGAGCTTTGGATATTGACCAAAAGAATGAGATCGCGGATACAAACGGGCAAATTGAGCTTCCTTTGTAGGGTGATGGGTTCAGCCTTAGCGATAGGTTGAGGAGCTCAGACATCCAGAGGGAGCTCGGAGTAGAGCCACGTTACCTCTGCATCTAAAGGGGCAAGCTGAGGTGGTTTGGGCATCTGATTAGGATGCCTCCTGGACGCTTTTCTTTAAAGATTGTCCAGGCATCGCTAGAGAGGGACATCTTGACTACCTTGCTAAACATGCTTTCCCCGCCCCAGATAAGCATGACATAATGTTTGGATGGAATAATAACCACAAACAGGGGGTTAGTAGGGGCCCACAGCTCCATTTTTTGCTGCATGGCCCCTATAATTCGACATTTATAGAAAGAGAGGTCAGTTTAAAATGTCCTGATGGATCAAAACTGAGCTCATGCTTAATAGAAAGTTTGTGACCAAACGTTCATGAATTTGTTCACACTAATTATGAAACTGCTGCCACAAAATAATGAAAAGAAGGGATGCGAATTAGGCAAAATGAGAAAATGATGCATATCATCTTCATTCAAATTAATGAAAACGAGTAAATGAGGTCTATTTTTGCTTCCACACAGAATCATTTCATGCCGTTGATATAATCAGTTCTGGCCTCAGAGTGGGTTTTATTCCTCTGTGACACCTTCAGGGAAACGCTGTAATTGGTTAGTTGGTACAACCATTAAATAAATACAGTTCCATCGAGGAGAATGAGAAGCTTTTTCTTTTAAAAGAAAAGAAGGTGTATCTATGCAGTGGCAGTATGTGGTATGAACATCTTTGTGGCACAATTAATGCAACAAAAACTAAAAAAAACAGCGTGACTGTTACTCGACAGGTGCTCTGTGGCCTAAAAGACAGGTCAGCAGGATCAATAAACGACTGAAACCAGGCACACAGCTGACATCTCCAGGCTGGGCAGCCCGGCATAACTGTCAACTGTGCAACAGTAAAAGTAAGCATGCTGCAGAGAAAGCATACAAGTAAAAACAAAACAAAAAAAGAGACATAAAGAGGAAAGTAGAGATACCAACCATGAGCTGCAGGTTCAGTGCTGGGCGCAGTGTCTGAGCACACAGGGAGAGGACATGGCAGTTGAGGAGGGAGGTGTGGAACAGGAGGAACAGCATGCAAATAAAGGAGAAATGGGGGAGGAGGCAGGGAGGGAGCGGGGCAGGGGGAGAAAACAAATGACACCCATAAGCAAGCATTCAGAAGACCAGAACATGACAAAAGACATAAGGCTTAAGGGAAATCAAAGGGAACCAAAGGCAGTGCAGAGATAAACATAAGCTTACACACACACACAAATACACTTTCCATTGCACACACTGGACGTTCAACTCAGAGGGGAGGGTGGCTGCTGCTTGAGGAGATATGGAAGAGACTATTATCATGTGCTTTAGGCAGCTTTGCTTTGGAGAAAAGACAAACTATCAAGAGGAAATCATTGTGCAGCTGTCCTAATGTGTCAGTGTATGACTTGGAAACGTTTCACCATCTATTTGTAAGGGGAATGTTTTGTATGGCAAGGACTCAAGTGAAGTTTTAACAAAGTAAAAGTGTTTACTTTTGCGATGGCTGGGTATGGATAAAATATTCCAACACCCCAACTCCCAACTCGTCAATTACAGCAGTATGGTCAGTGGCCCTAAGCTTCAAACTCTGACCCTCTAGGGACCCCTGAAGCATTAGTTTTGGATGAGTCAGGGACGGCATGTCAGTTTCACATGCATAGTGTCCTTTCAAAATAAACCTCCGTGTTCACTGGAAACATACAGTTTCTGCTCGTTACGTACATACAGTTGCTTTTCAAAATAAGCTTCCAAGGTAGGTTTACTCATTCAACAGAAGTGCTACTATGGTAAATTAAGTCCACATTGACTTGATTTGAAATGGGAGAAAACATCAGTCTCCTGGGTGAAAGTCCAGTGTTTGTTTCCCCTGTGCATCTTCCCATCCCTTGAAGCGATACTTACATTGAGACTACAGACTACTTATGGGAAACAGAAGCAGGGATCGCACCTTGCCCAGACTGAAATCTGTGCTGGAGAAACAAGTGCCATTTAAAAACCCTTCTGATGGAGATGCTTGCACACCGACAAATGGGGCTTGTCCAAAAACATTGCTCTCTGAGTGATTAACAAAGTGTGTCTGCATTAGTGCCAATTTCTACCACAGCAAAAGTGCTGAAATCGACTTTAAAATGATAAAAGCAACATTTGGTTAAATCATAGGCATGAAAAATACATCAAAACAAATTGTGTTCAAATAGGAGAGTTTCAACAGCCGCAATGTCATTTCAAGAGGCTAAATGTACATTAGCGTGCCTTAGGTTTCCTTAGCCTTCTGTCTCAGCGGAGACATCAGAAAGTGCCGGAAAGCTATTAAGACACAGACAGATGTTTGTGGAAGAGAGAATGGTGCTCCCATATGTGTAATTGTTCGGGGAGCAGTAGGCCAATGCCACACCTCAGCTCTGCCGCCAGAGGCTCAGGGTACAGGGAACGATTTCAACAAGGTGAGACTGCTTTGAGTCCGTTTCAGAATTACCGAGGCCTCTGAGGACCCGTTTCTCTACTCGGTCCTCCAGTAGCTGAGACATGTCAGTGCTAAATAATGCCACAGGCCAGTCATTACACTGGCAATTTATGAGCATATTTGGTTGAATCACACCTCAGTAAAAACACTGAAGGGAAATAATGCTTAAAGTTCAAAGTGCTTCTAACTCAAAGCCAGATAAGCAAGTTAGCCGGTTAAGTTTGACCTTAACCCCGGCTTTAGATTACCACATGGCTAGCTCCTATTTAAATTAATTAGATTAGCTGAGTATCCTTTGAGACAAGGCTAACCAATAAAAAAAGTGTGTAAAACAGCCCATCTACAAGATCACCTTCTCACAGTAATGAAGAGATGTACGAAATGTTTGTAGCATATCAATGTAACGTAACAAACAGGAAGCTAGCTGTAATGGGTGATATTTACAGATGCATATTAATTGCATTGCATTGACATTCTTTCAGACAACGGTATTCTTGACATGTATTGGTTTATTGTAGCGTGCTTTGAACTCGTTCTACATCATTGCAGCCCCGAGGAGCAAGGAGCAATTTTATATTTAAAGATTCTTTACATCTGTGTTGAAGGTATCGTCATTGTGTATCATATATAAATATAAAAGTTTATATTTTATATGAGGTTAAGTTGTGAAGAAAAATGCTGCCACACTATTTTGTTGTTTTCTTTGGAGATTGAATTGTTCATTTTACATGTGTTTGTCTTTGTTTAATGTTATGTTGTTGCCTCTGTTTCAGGCACCCTACCCACCGCACCTGTTTACTTTGCCCACCATGTGTTACTGTTTCTCTTATTGTAAATCGTTTTTCATGGTTTTGAGATTTGTTGTCATAATTAAGGTTAGATGTTTTCTAATAGCTCTTGACTAGTAATGTACTACACAGTAATGTAATACACTAAACTGAGCAGACTGCATACTGTAATGTCAAAATAATGCATGTATTTGGAGAAAAAGAATCAAACAGTGCTGCTTTGCATTGTTGAGGGAGCAACGATGCAGAAAGAGGTACCAGAGGGCAATTCATGGGTTATGTATTGTCCTCTGCGGTAGCAAATAAATGCTGGAAAACAATCTCTTGAGTCCTCTCCTTCCATGCCCTATCCACATCTGTTAGACAACCACACAGCTAGATGGCACCAAATCCTACACACTGTGCCTCTAAATCTAAAGGGTTAATCCCAAAGCGTTCTCAGAAAAATGGATGAAAAATAAAACAGTGTACATGGCTAAATAAAGACTGGAGGTAAGTGCTCGGGTCCATGTGAACACAACTATAGACATGCTGATTAAGAAAGGCCATATATTAAATTAAAACGGGGAAATGAGTGAAGCCATGTTCTGGCTGCACTCGTGTTCATAGGCTTCAAAATGTAAAATGAATCCTCTGTCCCTGCAAGCCTCAGTCAACAGAAAGGCAGCATGGCCTGGTAACCCTCATTACACTGTGGGTGGCAGCCATGTGGGACCATTCAGTATGTCTGCTGCTGAGTGATTGCCTGTCCACTTTTGGGCAGTTTCCTCCTCATCCACCATCTCCAGCTTCACAGGTCAACTGAGACATCGGCAGTGTTCTCGCTGACATTCACAGATATGATGGGGGCACATCAGCTCCATTACTAGTTGCCACACTTCCCATGAGCCCTTTGGTGACTCACTGTGACACGACATCCAGCTCAACATGCAGAGATAACTGCATGCCGATCATAATTGTATTGGCAGAAATGGATTAGGTGGAACCCTGTGGTGCTGAAAATGCCAACAGGCTGCCGGGTGTCCCCGCTGGCAGCTAGATTACTTTTTTGTTGGATCCACTTTCTCTAACCTGCCTTCCCTACTTTGGCTTTTGTTTGTGGTTTCCTCCATATCCCAGAATGTTGCCGTCTCCCACAGAGCTCTGTTGATAGAGAAGCGGGCAGCCTATCTCTTTTCTTCAACAATAGATTTCTCCCTGTAACAACTGTTGAATGTTGCTAAAAAAAAAAAAACAGGGAGAAACTCTGAATTTCTAAAGTGCTGTGGTGAAGCTCAAAATGGGTGGCTCCGGCCGTCACCATCTTGGCAGTTACAACCTAACTCCCTGCTCATCCAAAAATCGGCAAAGAGGTGGCTCGTTTGTGGAGCTGAGACGACCCGGGTGACGCAGCAGAGGAGATAGCTAACTAGATATTTCATTCTAATAGGTGAGTTGTATAAAAATTCATCCCCTGTGCAGTAATGAACCAGGATATTGGCTATCGCTGTTTTTTTGTACCAGGCTGTAAACATGTTCAAAGAAGGGTATTTTAACATGGGGGTAGATCAGGAGCCAGCCGCCAGTGACCATCTGAGGAACTGCATTTTCTGGCACTTCATTGTTGGCTTTATTTTTCAGCAAAGGAGGTCGCCGCTTGATATATACTGTATGTACAATTTAGCTGTTATTTTAACACATTTAAACAAACTCCATGCAATCTAGGAGCCGTAAGGTACCCAAATTATGAGTATATGTGAAAATAAAGACAGAAATAGTTTTCACTGGTGCTACTTTTCAGTGTAGCTAGCTGATTACCCCCTGGCCATTTTTTCATCTCATTTTGGTCATTGTGGAGCGCAGTTATACCTCTAAATGACAATATGCCTCCACATTAAGAAGACCTGTGGGTCTCAAAACTAGTTTTTTCCATGATGCTGAAAGCTGTAATATCATTGATGTTCTTTCAGGGTTGCATGTCACATGACGGCACTTATTATGTTGCTACTGACCTTAATCAAATTAGTTAAAGCTGGCTGCTCCAATTTTAAAACAAGACAAGGAATCAAACTGAGCAAAGTGGGAACAATATCACACACTATCTGGCACATTGTGTGCATGTGTCAGTCCGGAGAATGTGAGGTGGAGACACATCTAAATCCATAAAATTCTTAAGTCACTTCACCAGATGATGTTTATGTGATTAAAGACCCAGACAAAATGAATAGATATGTGTTTATTTCCCCTTCCCTGCCTGTTTTGTTGTTCTGTGGGTTAAATTAATTAGTTGTCAGCACCGCTTATGGTCTTTCATCAATAAAACGTAATGCTAGCCTGGCGATGATTGTTTTATTTGCACAAGGTACACATCTATTATCTTTCTTCTTCATTCAGGGTTAGAGTGGCATTGTTCATTCGGCGACGTGTTGAATTAGGGAACGATTAGTCATGTTGTGATGATGAGGGAGAGAGAGCTGAGGTAATGAGATAGCTAGAATACATGGGAGGATGAATGTTGAATCCCGACAAAAGACAGCAGTGCATTTGTACTTTTGGGCTTGTGTTTCACAAAAGACCTCCTTTTGGCCCCGACTACCACTAAAGCAATAGACTGCTGCCCCTGAAGAGAGCGTGCAGCACAAAATGTTGCTTTTCAACGAAAGTCTTTCCTCCACACTGACACAGAAATGGCAGGAAAAAATGATGCAGCAAAGGATGCAAGAAAAGAGACTGAGTAAGAAAGGAGAAACACAACATTCAGTCCCTGAAAGATGTTATAAAATATAAAGGGAAACTATAAATTGCTATTAATAATATGTCCTAATTGCAGGAGATGGTCTGCAGGATATCTCAATTAAAAAATGTATTTTGTTATGAAAATAGCAATTGTCATTTCCCCATGTCACTTGCAGAACCCTGCCAAGCACTTAAGAGCCACGTGTTGGGGCTTTAATAGATTTTTTGAAGTGCTCTGTTCTTTCCCTCTAATGGGTAACTGATAAAAAGAAAAAAAATCTCAATCCCACTCTGATAGATTCATTTGGCGGTGGACGGCACGCTGTGGGTAAATGAAATCAACTGGCAGAGCGAATTATGGCCATATGAGTCTGCCTTCAATCTATATACACAGTTATAATGGAATTCCTCTGATAGTTGAAAGCAAAGAGAGGACATCTGGAAGAAAACTGTAAGTGGGTTGTTTTAACCTGAAAATATTGGCCCTGAAGACGTGAGGTTTGCTTTATCAGGTGGAGTCCACACATCTCAACGCAAGCCCTGTTCACTGGGGACTGAAATAACTCGCCAACATACTGTAAACAGTGATTTTCAGTATTTTCCGTCTTATCTTACTCTGTCATTAAGTACGAAGGTTGGTAGAGTAGAAAGAAGATTCAGAGCTAGCAATATTTGATTTGCATGCACTTTTGCACAAAAATGCTATGAATTGATATTGGTAACCCTACATCCCCCATATGTAGTGCTTTGTAAGAATAGTTCGAATGCTTTATAATCTGCTCATAGCAATGTATAATTATAGATAAAAGCACAACAAATACAATATAAAGCCTTTTTTTAATGACTTACAAGGTGAAGTATTATAATACTCCATAATTCCCATAGCATTCAAAAATATGTTTACGTGAGGGGGAACCGGAGGGTGGGTGCTATGCTTCCGCAACGACGCTGTCAGTTTGGACGGTTTCATAAGCTGTAAACGCTGTATGAGAGCAGAGCAGACTTGCGGCCATAACCTCGCCAGTGCGGCACGCTCACATGCACTCAAATCAAGTGCATCCGGCCCGGTTATCTCAACAAAGCAAGGAGAAGCTTGGATAACAACACACAATAGAGGGAGAGTGACCTCATTCTCTGCTCAGGAAGACATTACTTCACCATATCTTTACATAGCAAATAGTTGTACGCTGCTATATTAATGGTCAGGACGTTAAATACAGCTCCTTTAAATTAGATGACATTATAAACTACTGGTCATACCAGACCAAAAGTTGTAGCAGCAAAACCACTAAGAGTTGAATTGAGCAAAAGCGCATTTTATTGCTTATCAATTCATTATATACTGTATATATTATAATATATATTATATATATAGTATTTTATTTGTGACTGTTATTTTTTTAAAGAAAAAAATCATCTCACTTTTATTCATTGCCTAATTCACACATTTTGTGCTAGTAACCTTAAGGAAATATTGGTATTATTATTTACCCATTCAGTAACAATTTTATCCTCAGCAGGCACATTAGCAATGATCAGCAGAGATCCAAGTGTTAATCATTCAGAATGGAGATAATCAGAACAGGCCTGGGCAGACTCCCGACTTCTTGATCCGAGGCAAAGGAGCTATCAATCAGCCTGCATAGATAGGTATTCTCTTTAATCCAATCAGATGGCATAATCAAGCACAATGCCTGTGATTTCTGCCAGCCTCGTGAGATTTGTTCCAATTGAGCGGTCTGTCAGAGAGGCTTTGATTGCATTTGGGGCTCAGGCTGATTTCTGACTTGAGGCATAAAGTGATGTTTTCTATCTACGCCCTTTGGAGATTTACACTCACAATAGCCCCGAGCTCTGTTTCTGAAAGAGCAAGATAAAATTTGCCAATTTCAAAAGGGCCTAATTTTCAAGTGCTCATGTTTGGTTATTGTTCATCCCCACTGCTACCCTCCTTCAACAACCCACCTAGAGTATGATCTATAATTTGCTTTATGAATGAGCGATGTGTTTCATAAAAAAAAGGCAATTCTTGTGTTTGCAGTGACTAATTGTTATAGAACAATTATCAAACTCATACAATTACCACAGCCAATCCAGTATCCATGCTTCATAGTTTACAGCCTTCTATTTGTTTGATTTAGCTTTTCCCATCATGCCATGTCAGGGGATATCATACTGCTATTTACAACCGTAATGGATGCATTTCTGGTGTGATGGAGAGGTTTGCAGTTTCGTGGGGGAAAAATAGAAACCTGTTATGAAACCCTGTCGTGAAAGGATTTGGGGAACAAAGCCACCACGTTACTCTGAGAGGGTTGCACACTGACAACAAAGCAACGCAAGCTGGGCCTTGGCCTATTATTTGTCCTCTCAATCAAAAACACCCATACACACCCACACACTTATTTGAAAAGAAGAAAAATAAAACATGTAGGGGGGCACATCACTTTATGAAGTGGAGCACTGTAATTACTCATAATTTGTGACTGCAACAGATGAGGTTGGTCCATCAAAGTCTATTTTTATCCGTCATGTTTCCATGTTAACCAACATTTTATAGAACTGTCGTCCATTTATAGAGAATCATAATGAGCATTGCCAATGGCAACGTTGGCATCCTTACGATGGTGAATGGTTGGAATTTTCCTTGAGAAACGATGTGTAGACTCATACAAAATGAATCCCTCTCAATCATCATTTATTGCCCACTAGAAGGGTGTGGCGTCGACCATGCCCTCTGCCTGTATTTTCTCTTTTTTTTCTTCATTTTGGGACGTTTCTGGGCATCAACTTCAAAAAAAACGTAGCAGCTGCCAGATTGTAAGCATGCATTCAAGAGGAAGCTACACAAATGGCAGTCACAGCACGGAAAAAACGCAAGTAAAGCTAGGCGAAACGCTATGGAGAGAAAGGGGGAAACATGAGGGCTAACAGAAGGGCGGGCACTACATTCCGGCAATGAAGGTGTCATCAGCTGGAAAGAGAACCTTTAAGGACATACTGTAATCTTTGAAGAACTGTTGAAGAACAAATGTGGTAACAATTCTCTAATGCTCTGAATATGGTTTAGATAAACCTTTAATGATGAAGCTGGAGTCAGGACGTGGCTAGCTTAGCTTAGCATTCATTCAACTGTTTGCCAAAAGCTCAAACGTGAACATGAGAATCGTATTAATATTTATCTCGTTAAAAAGAAAAAGGAAAAGCAAAAAAGCTGTTGAGCTATTCTCAAGCATGAAAGTTAATTCTTGACCTTGGGATTGATATGTGACAAAATAACAAGATCCACATAGAAGTTAATTTTGCCGCCTCAGCCATTACTTCTTACCTGTTAAATTACAGATAGAATTCGGAAACAACTGTAAAAGCTTTCAAAAATGGTGAATGATGACAGAAACTGGGTGACCTTAACCCATCGTTAAAGGAACACATGAATAGGACTGCCACTGCGGCATGAGGATGGAGATATATGGAGTGATTCAAGGCTGTGCGGGGAATAACGGAGCACACACACACACATACACACACACAAAGAAAAACAGATCGTGGGAGGGTGATACTGTACCTTGATTGGCTTCAGGGAAGGAGATGGTGGTGGTGATGGTGGTGGAAGTGGTTGTGGCTGTGGTGGGTATAGGGGTAGTGGTGGGAGCATCTGGATGAGAGGACAAATACATGACAAACACAGGGGGGGGAAACATATGAGTATAAAAGCCATGAAGATAAAGTAAAGTCACTGTGAAGCGATGGTATCGTTGTTTGATATATCACCAACAGCTCAATGTGTGTGTGTGTGTGTGTGTGAGTTAAAGGCTGGCTGCAGACCTTTTGATGGATTGGTAATGGCAGTGCATTAAATACTGCAAACATAATGATGACACTGCAACGCATCATCAGGTCTCACACCGACTGAGCTGATCAAAGATTTGTTGGGAGCTCCTCGCTTTTATGTCTACTTACGGGCTGCACACCATGACATGAAATACTGACAATGCTTGCGAGCACATGGTTGTTAGAAGTGATTAAATGTCTAATGAGTAACACATGCTGGTGTTGTACTTATGCTGTCATTGTTATGCAGCGAGCTGTCTTAGCAAACAAACGTGTCTGTGCATTCTTAATATCTCCAAGGAGATGCAAGCAGAGGATACTGGCAACAAAAAAAGCAAAATTTAATGTAAAAACTCAAATATGATGACACAATAAATGGCAGTGCACAAAAAAACAGGAGGGGGGAAATAATACACGGACAAAACAAATGGAAAGAAAATAGAATCACCACCTTGCGGTTGTAGTAGTAGTGTCCGGTCAAGTAGATTACATCCACGTCTGTCCAAAATGCCATCCCTTCAACATTTTATCCTATTAGACATTTGCGTGAAATTGCTACAATTGGAATATTCATTCTTGACTTATGGACGAAAACATGTTTCGTGAGGTCACAGCGACCTTTTGACCACCAAATTGAAATCAGTTCAACCTTAAAGGCAAGTCAACATTTTGGCAAATTTGAAGACATTCGCTCACCGCGTTCCTGTGATATTGCATTCACAAGAATAGAGCGGACGTGAGGTCACAGCAACCTTGACCTTTGACCTCCAAAATCTAACCAGTTCATCCTTGAGTTCAGGTGGATGCTTGTACCAAATTTGAAAACATTCCCTTCAGGCATCCCTGAGATATTACATTCAGTAAAATGGACCGTATGGACAAGCCGTAAACATAATGCCTCCGGCCACGGCTGTCGCCTGGGCTGAGGCATGAAAATAAATGAATAGCATCAGGCAGGGCTGTTGAGTACACAAACTTTGACCAGAGAGCATTTTTCCTCCCACAGCCTTTCCTTTTTTACTTCATTATCCAGGTTAGAATCCCCACCCTGACAATGACCAGGGGGAGATATCAAAAGTGACATTTTCCTTGTTGAAGTGGTGGTGCTGCACTGATATGAAGCCGCTGGCAGTGCTGCTTTGTGAAAGACCACCCATGCTGCTCTGATTGCCTGGGAATGGACTGAACAAGGTTTTAGGGTTATTGAAATGTGCTGAAAAAATATGTTTCTGGCTGTTGATAAGAATGAAGGCTAGTCTACACTTTAATGAAATACTGCGTTATAAGAAGGTGGCGAAAGTGTATGGACAGAGAATTGGAAGGAGATTGATGTCCGGGAGACAGAAGAGATGCTGTTTTTAGCAGTTACAAGCACTGTGCAATGACACATTTTGTTATGTGATGGTGCTGGTAGGTTGCATAAAACAGAACAAGCTGTAAATGACAAAACTGCAGGTGTTATTGCTTTACAAAAAATAATTAAGAATTCATTCAAACTACCGTCAATAACAGGCAGGCCAACTGCCAATGGCTGTGAAAGAGGTAATTTGGCATTGTACATAGAAGCTACAACATTCAAATCGCAATTACTAGCTGGACAAAATTCGATAGAAAGTTAGTAGCGCTTTTGTTCTATTGGAAAAAAATAAACTATTAAGTATTACGGCTGGTGGTGTTCCAACAAAACCCATGAAGAGACCAGCAACCAACAATGACTTGATCTTACCAACAAGTATCATCTGTGTAGCCAAAGCAAAACAGTTTTTTTGTATTGGGCTGCAAACATGTTTATTTCTGCTGTGATGTTGGACATTTTAACCTGGAGGTCTATGTGGCTTGACTCGCTTTTGGAGCCAGCCTCAAGAGGCCATTTTGCAGAACTGCAGTTTTTGGCTCTTCCGCGTTGACTTCATTTCTCTGCACCATAGGTTGCAGCTTGGTTAACCGTCAAATGTCACATTGTTTTTGTTATTGCATAACTGAATGTACACCAGTAATTGTTCCTGTAGATGTTCCCAGTAAAGGGGGTTTTCACTGTGACATCTTTGAATTGAAAATGCAATACCATCCCGAAGTCATATTAAAGAGATAATAAAAGTTACCTTGCTCTTTGTAGAGCAGGATGTCTCCCCTAAGGTTACAGAGCTTGTTTATCGTTGAAAAGTAGTCTTCCCTGAGGGCAGAAGTTGTTACTTCACAAATCTCTTCACAATTTGAGAAAATCATTTATTTCACGCACTTTAAGAAAAATGTATTAAGTAATTCAAATAACAGGCAGAGAGGTCCATGTAGTCCCTTAGAAGTCTGCCTGAAGCAAATTTCAAAATGCTAATGAATGCCTTCAGGTGATCTGGATCCGTATTCAAACTCTGTTGCTGTGCGGTATATTTTTAATCTACCAACAATTCAATTTTTTAAGTCAACCTTGATAATACAAAGGGCTGTACACACCAATGTGCAGACAAAGGCGGGTAGAAATGATCCATTGGGAAGTCGGCTGGCAGATGAGGCATGAGCTGATGAATTTCACACATGCTTGAGAGCCACAACTCCAGCTCTGGGGTGGTGCCGTCTAATTGGTTTTTATCCTATTATGAACTGTGAGGGTCCAGCAGATGTTTGGGATCATCAGTGTCAGCATCTCATTAAAAACTTAGCAGTAAAAGAATTAAAAAGACAAATAAAGATGAAAAGAAAAAGAAAGACTGTCTGAATGTACATTATATTTCTCTATTGGTGACTAGCTGGTGCAATGTATCAAAGAACACTGGAGCTTATTGACTTTCAAATGTGACAGGCTGAATGTGTTTTTCTTCCCGCTGAGTCACCGGCCCTTGTTTACTGATGAGGCTTATGAATCTGTGTTTCTGGTCTGAATGAATGGAGCAAGACCACAGCAATCATTCCCGTTAAAGCCGGTGAGTTAAAGAACTCCATGTGAGCACAGGAACTCCATATCTACACAGTGCCAGTAATCACACCAAACAATATGAAGCCTGAAAGAATACCTCCAGCACAGAGGAATTGATGATACATGAGAAGAAGTGAGGTGTAGTAGAGTAAAGTAAGGTATGTCAAAGTAATAGCGCAGCAGAGTATAGTACATTATAGTATAGTATAGTATAATGCAGTGCAGTACAGCCTTATCTATAAATCCTGTCTATCAATTTTAATCGTACAATAATGTCAGAAATATGTCAGCTCTTAAGTTTTAAGGAGAAAAACTACGAGATTTTATGAGCTGTTATTCCAAAATATACTACTTGATTTAGGTTACGAAAATGTTAATTTAACCATGTCAAAGACATATTCATGAGTAAATGTGAGGGAGAAAACTAGTTAAATTTAGTATCATTATTATTTTATCCCAATAACCATGATAACTCAGATCTTGCTTGTAATCATTTGATAAATTGAAATAAGGCCACAGCATTAGAGATCCAACACACTCTAAACCTAGAAGTTACCTTGTGAAATGCTTTGTCCTCATCAGAAAGTATTTTTCTACCCCTTTTGCTTTCATGTTTCCCTGCTTCATTCAGTTTTTTGACCTGCTACACACCATCTAACTGTATTATTGATTTGCTGCTTTGTGTCCCATTTAGTGCCTCTTAGCCCTGCAAGGGTTATCTATATTTTATCCTTTACAAGGTTTCTTCCAATTTTCCGGTATTTCGTTTGGGTAAGTTTTTCCTTGGCCCCTTCAGTATCTGTCCTCGGCCCCTGTATAATCCCAACTAGTGAAACCCTGACAAGTGCTGCGTTTAGAGGCTTTACATATCAACTCAACATTGACTCAAAGTGACATTCGTGGGTGTCAACGTTGTGAAAGAGCCTATTAGAAGTCTTGCCTTTTACCTTTCCAGAGAGAAGTTACGAAGAACTAAAGAAGTAATAATTATAACAAAAGTCCTTATCATTCAAATACTTCAATTCTGATAGTTCTTAATTGGCTACCTGGTTCAAAAGGAATGTTGGTCTACTGTATAGGTTCTTCCAAAGTAAGTTGATGTTGGGCCTCATGTACGTACATCTCAGATCTTTTAATGCCCTACGAGGGGTGATTGAAGAAGCTCACCTTACTGTACAAAGTCTCGGCTGAGGGTTTAAAGGTGGCCAGGCATTCAGCTTCAGATAATAAACAAAAGACTAAAAGGTAGTTTTCTCCAAGCTGGGTTATTTTGGAATCTTCACATGTTGGAAGCAAGTATTGTCTATAGAAAATATGGTATGGATTATTTTAACATAAATATATTGGGGTCATTTTGAGTGACATTTTATGTGTCATCAAATAAAAAGTGTGAAATTCAAGATCACAGCCACTCTGACATAATCCTGCCATATGGTGATCAGGAGATAAATGTTGGGATCCTAAATTATAGATTTTCCCCCAAATTACAACTGTAATGTCATGATTTGATACATGGCAGAGAACTCCAAGTGTTTAAAATTCATAAGAGACAAACAGAATTCAAAACACAACTTCCTTGCAAATTTGCTTTGGAGGTGATGAATTACTTTTTCCTCCTCAGAGCATTTTACACCAGCAATTTCACTTCCACTCAAGTGCAATTTCAGCAAACTAAGAGCGCTTGCAGCTTGAATAAGATGTTTTGGGACACTTTGCACCTCTGGAAGAAATGTTGGAAGCCACTTAAAGCGCTAACAGTGACTTGTGGAGAAATTCCCATGTGCTTTAATGGAGAAGAAGTGTAAAGTAAGTAGGAAGACGACTGAGTGCAACAGGGTCACTAAACATGCGGCTGGTGTGCAATAAAGCCAGTGCTGGTAAAGGAGCAGGGAGAAGGAGAACTCAGTTATTGG